AAAAAATCGTGTTAATCAAATTACATATTATCATTCATGAACATACCAAACTCATTACAATATATTCAATAGGTCAGAGGTGTCGATATAAATAATTTTGCCACAGGAACATTTGTGCATAAGAGATAATGTGTAAAAGAATTTCTATGTAATTTTTGTATGCCTCAGCAGATTCTTTACATTATAGTATTATACGTCTTAACATTACTCTAATATAGTAATATTATATCGAAATGAAATCCTCCTACTGAAATATTTTACGCGTTCGCAATTGTTGTTTTAGTAACCGTAAACGCAGTAAAGTAAATTAGAATTATTAGAAGAGATGCAATTTCACGTTTCGCTTGAAAGACATGTCGTGGATCGTGGTATCCTATTCGATCGTATTCACATATTATTAATCATTTCGTCAACCTAATGATCCAAAGCGAATTGGTGTACAAATTAACTTGGCCTAATCGATATTTTCGTTAATAGATTCCTAAACCAAATTGTTTTGTGTTACGCAACGTTGGTATTCCTCCCTAACCTATTACTATATTCTAGTTTCCTTATTCCGATTGTACTGAYATTCAGTAACGTCGTTACCAGCTTGCTATCCTAATTGCCAAATAATTGTTTGGTCCGTAATCACTATCGTATGTACTATTATGTTTTATATATATATAAAAAAAAAACAAACATATTTAAAAGTTMTCTCAAATCATTTAATTTTTGATTTTCTCATGCACAAGCATAGACATTCCTATCTAAAATTGTTTATTTTTTTACTTTTATTCGAAATGATCTCATTGTTTTTGAATAATTAAACATCAGTTGTGGCATAATATTATATTTAATATTGTTATTGTTAACTAGGAATAATTTTTATGTTCCTTTTGGGACGACGGACCGACCTTGTGTACCTGTAGTTTTCCGGTCGTCCTTTCCTTGTGGGCAGCAGGTATATACTTTAGGATGCGGGCGACCGTGTGGCATGTACCCAGTATTCCCCATCGTGTCACTCATAATATGTGTGATAACTGATAACCGATATGCCCATAGATTTTGCTAGGACAAATAAATAATTCCTTTATGTTCTCCGTGAGAGCAGCAGCAGCAACAACAGCAGCCGCCGCCGCCGTGCGCGCCATGACCCGACCCCTCTGCCTTCTCCATGCGTAGCTGTATAGTATAATAATAATTKTCCATGAACACGTTTTCGAACCCCTGTCCGTTATAATGGTACTCTGTAACACAATAATCGGGATGCGAACTCGGTCGAGACCGTGAAGACAACACGAGGCGCGCGCGCACGGTTCACCGGTTCTGCGTCGTCGTCGTCGATACCCGTCCCCCGACCATCTGCAGCTGCTTGCTGTTACTCGGACACCACCACCACCGCTGCCGCACGGCATATTRTTATATTTTATTCTATAATATACTTTACTTAATGTGATATAACGTTTCGTCTTCAAGAATATGCACGCGTACGTGTCCGCGCCCTCGATAACCGCATTCAGGTATCCGGTGCGGACCCAAAAGTGTGTGAAAGGGCGTGGAGAAATATTATTTTTTACTTTGTCCCGTGTTTGAATATTATATTTTATGTCCAAGAGAAAAAATTCAGACATTAAACACGTGACCTAAATAACAGTGATGATAATAATAAAAATATGAGTTGTGTGTTGCGTGTGTGAACAACCCCGCTGTCGAGACCAAAATAATATTTCTATACAGTAAATGGTATATAGCTCGTATGGTAAAACGCGCTTCGTGGGAGGGTGTGATCAGGACACAGGGGTGTGTCGCCCCGTGGGTTCGCCGTGTGCGGGAGCCGTGTGTTTAATGCTAGCAATCGCGCGCGCGACCGTCGCCGACAACCATTGTCGCATAGACGAGTTTTTAGGGTGCGTCTGTCTGCGTATGTTTATATTTATAAAATGCGTTTGTAATACTACTTCTCTACTATCGGTGGGAGGGGTGACCCGCGTCTGGTAATGGATGAGGCAACCCTATTCTGGTTGACCACGTACTGTCGTTCAAAAGACCGTAAAAATGAATTTATATCCTTATGTGCGGGTAGGCAAAAAGTAAAATGCACAATATGCATGTGTATTATTAATCGTATATCGTCCCTCTGCAATTATTGTACATACTTTATGTGTGGATATTTATCACATTCGTATGTACTGTGTTTGTGTAGTATGTAATATCTTATACCCTTCTTAAATAACCATTAAACATTTTTTTTTTTTAGTTTTATCCCTCTAAAACCTTACTTTATTAACCATATTTTGTTCAATTAGACATGTTTTCGTTTATTTYCTTTAACAACATTTAATAAAAATATTATACCGACTCTGTGCATAATAATATTATGTTATTTTGCTTGATGGACCATATAAAATGTAATGTAAATTTAACGTAATCGGTTTTAATTTGTATTTCTATTTTACCACGAATTAACTATCAAACGATTATTTTTTAGTATTACGAATTTTGTTGTATAAATTATTTTGTCTGTTATATTGATTGTATAMATACGCGCTATTCAAAATTAAATAATGTTCTTCGAGTTCGAACTTAAAATATTGTACTAGTGTTCTAGGAATACTGTATTAAAATTTTAAAATGGAATACCTAGTGTARAGACATTGTGATGCAAGTCAACGACAACGTTGAAGTCTCCATTTATTACGTTTTTTAAACTTATTATTAATTACCTATTCAATTGTTTTTATTTTTATTTTTATGACGATTGACGTGATTATTAATAATAACTGCTATTAATGTAACCATACAACTAACTGACGCCTGTTCAGTGTACACCTATAGATGTAATTTATTATCTCACCAATGTATTGCATACGACGTAATATATTCTTAGCGTAATTTCTTTCGTACCGTCTGATAAACATGTGTGATTGAAGATAATATGGTTTATTTTGATCCTTGACCTTAGATATTTGAATACCATGAGTCGTTACTCGTTATACCGAAACCAAATCGGTGCGGATGACTCATATCTACCAGGTTCAATAGAAAATCTTTTCGTTCGACCCGCGTGCGTGGGCAGTCAAACCTGTTCTGTGTATATACTGTACATAATACCTACGGAATRGTTTGTGTCATCTTCGAAAGAGTGAAAAAGGGA